TCAATGGTATTTGTGATGCATTTTTGAATGTTCAGTTGACTGAGTTTCATGTTCAATGAATAAAGTATATAATAATAATAACAACAAGTTGCAGTTTCCTGCAATAACACCAGTGGAATTGCAAAAAACAGCTACTTGGAACATCGTACATCTTAAGAAGATACTTGGTTGATACCTAGGACGCTGGCAGCAACCTGTATCAAACATTACCGCCAGTCAATGATATTTTTATTATTTATTTATTTATTATTTAAATTTCTATACCGCCCTTCTCCAGAATAGGACTCAGGGCGGTGAACAGCCAGAGTAAAAAACAATACATACAAAATTTAAAAGCAATTTAAAATAATTAAATATTATTGGCCGTAAATTAAAATAACCCAATTTAAAATCAATTTAAAATTAACTCAAGCCAGCCCCGCTAGTTGGAATAAATGAGTTTTCAGGGCCCGACGAAAAATCCGGAGGTCTGTTATTGTACGTATCTCTGGGGGGAGGTTGTTCCAGAGGGTGGGCGCCGCCACAGAGAAGGCTCTCCCCCTGGGAGTCGTCAGCCGACATTGTCTGGCGGACGGCACCCTGAGGAGGCCCACTCTGCGAGCGTACTGGCCGGTGGGAGGCTATTGGTGGCAGAAGGCGGTCTGGTAAGTACCCCGGCCCTAAGCCATGGAGCGCTTTAAAGGTGGTCACCAACACCTTGAAGCGCACCCGGAAGACCACCGGGAGCCAGTGCAGCTCGCGCAGGAGAGGTGTTACATGGGAGCGCCTTGTCGCCCCCATAATCCCCCGCGCGGCCGCGTTCTGGACCAGCTGGAGCCTCCGGGTGCACCCAGGGGGAGCCCCATGTAGAGAGCGTTGCAGTAGTCCAGGCGGGAAGTGACGAGTGCCTGAGTGACTGTGCGTAGGGAGTCCCGATCTAGAAAGGGGCGTAACTGGCGTATCAGGCGGACCTGATAAAAAGCTCCCCTGGCCACGGCCGTCAAATGATCTTCTAACGACAGCCGTGCATCCAGGAGGACGCCCAAGTTACGAGCCCTCTCCGTGGGGGCGAGTGATTCGCCCCCAATAGCCAGCGATGGCGTCAGCTGGCTATATCGGGACGCCGGAAGCCACAGCCACTCGGTCTTGGAGGGGTTGAGTCGGAGCCTGTTTCTCCCCATCCAGGCTCGCACGGCCTCCAGGCACTGGGACATCACTTCAAGGGCATCGTTGGGGTGGCCTGGGGTGGAGATGTACAGCTGGGTGTCATCAGCGTACTGATGGAACTCCACCCCGAAGCCACGGATGATCTCACCCAGCGGCTTTACATAAATGTTGAACAGAAGGGGCGAGAGGACCGACCCTTGTGGCACCCCACAAGCAAGGTGCCTCGGGGTCGACCGCTGCCCCCCTGTCAACACAGATTGCGACCGGTCAGAGAGGTAGGAGGAGAACCACCGCAGAACGGTGCCCCCCACCCCCAACCCCGCCAACTGGTGCAACATGATACCATGGTCGATGGTATCAAAAGCCGCTGAGAGGTCTAACAGGACCAGGATAGAGGAGCAACCCCTATCCCGAGCCCTCCAGAGATCATTCACCAATGCGACCAATGCCGTTTCCATGCTGTGCCCAGGCCGGAAGCTGGACTGGAGCGGGTCTAGATAGACAGCTTCATCCAGGTACCGGGGAAGCTGTTGCGCCACCACACTCTCAACAACCTTCGCAACAAAGCGAAGGTTGGAGACTGGACGATAGTTAGCCAAAACAGCCGGATCCAGAGAGGGCTTCTTGAGGAGGGGCCTCACAACCGCTTCTTTCAGAGCGGCCGGCAGGACCCCCTCACTCAAAGAAGCGTTAACAATCTTCTGGAGCCAGCCTCGTGTCACCTCCCGGGAAGCCAGTACCAGCCAGGAGGGGCACGGGTCCAATAAACATGTGGTTGCATTCAGCCGTCCCAGGACCCTGTCCATGTCCTCGGGAGCCACAGGATTGAACTCCCCCCAGATAACACTCTCAAGACCTGCCTCAGTCATCCCGTCCGGACATACCCAGTCAGAGGCCAGCCCTTCCCGAATCTGAGCGATTTTGTCATACAGATACTGCACAAACTCCTCAGCTCGGCCCTGCAAGGGGTCATCCCGCACTTCCAGATGGAGGAGGGAGCGGGTCACCCTAAACAGGGCGGCCGGGCGATTATCTGATGACGCGATAAGAGCAGCAAAATAGCTATATTTCGCCGCTTTTATCGCCACTAGGTAGGTCTTAATATGAGACCTCACCAGTGTTCGGTTGGATTCGGAGCGGCTGGTCCTCCAACTACTCTCCAGGCGTCTTTTCCGGCGCTTCATCTCCCTAAGCTCCTCGGAGAACCAAGGAGCTAGGTGAGTTCGGTGCTGGGTCAGAGGCCGCAAAGGCACGACACGGTCCAAGGCCCCGGCAGCCGCACTATCCCAGGCGGCCACCAGGTCTTCAGCCGAGTCATGAGCCAGAGTCTCAGGAAATGGCCCAAGCTCCATCTGGAACCTATCAGGGTCCATCAGGCGCCTGGGGCGGAACCACCTGGTCGGTTCCGCCTCCCTGCGGCGGGGTGCAGCAGTTAGAAAGTCCAGTCGAAGGAGCGAGTGGTCCGACCATGACAAGGGTTCGATGGCTATATCCCCTATATCAAGGCCACTCAACCACTGACCAGAGACAAAAATTAAGTCCAGAGTGTGTCCCCCTGTGTGAGTGGGGTCATGAATTAACTGAGTAAGGTCCATGGCCGTCATGGAAGCCATGAACTCTCGAGCCACCTCAGACGTTTCACCGATAGATGGCATTTTTGAATGTTCAGTTGACTGCGTTTCATGTTTAATGAATAAAGAGAAGTAGAAGTAGTAGTAGTAGTAGTAGTAGAAGAAGAGGAAGAGGAAGAGGAAGAGGAAGAGGAAGAGGAAGAAGTGATACCCATTGTCATTGGGGCACTTGGTACCATGTCCAAGAAGTTTACAAAATAAATCAAGAAATTGCAGCTTCCTGCAATAACACCAGTGGAACTGCAAAAAACTGCACTACTCGGAACATCGTACATTTTAAGAAGATACTTGGTTACTACCTAGGAGCTGGCAGCAACCCGTATCAACCATCAGTGCCAGTCGATCATATTTGTGATACATTTTTAAATGTTCAGTTGACTTGAGTTTCATGTTTAATGAAAATAACAATAATAAAAGTAGGCATTGACAGAATAACAACAACAACAAAACAACAACAACAATATAGGCATTGACAGAATCCCTATCAATCAATTGTAAAAGGCAGCTTTACTTGGAACAGTTTGCATCCTTTAACACCATCAAACTTTCACATCTGCCTATCCCAGATCCTTGGGAAGGAAGGACTGGATAAGTGGACAGAATTGCTGAATCCAGTCTAAACATCTGGCTGACTGTGATGAACCATAATGATAATATTGTCATTGGCAAATTCATCATTAGCCAATTGCAAAAGGCAGCTTTACTTGGAACTGCTTACAACCTGTGATGATACCTTTAACACTATCAAATAACAGTACCTGCCCATCACCTGCCTTGGAAAATATTTGCTAGGTGGACAAAAAGGCCAAATCCAGCTTAAACATCTGACTAACTAACTATAATAATATTGTCACTGAAATTTACCATCAATCAATTGCAAAAGGCAGCTTTACTGGAATAGCTTACATTCTGCGACAACACCTTTAATAACTTCTTCCTATCCTTAGGAAGGACTTACTAGGTGGATAAAAATGCCAAATCCAATCTAAATATCTGGCTGACTGTCCAATGAACCATAATGATATTAACTGTAAAAAAGTCAATCACAGACTTGAATTGCAAAACTTGGAACAGCTTAGCTTCTGTAACAATACCTTTAATATTATTAATCATCAACATTTGCCTATTCCAGGTCCTTGGTAAGGACTCAACAGGTGGATAAAAATGCTAGATCCAGTCTGAACATCTGGCTGACTGGATGACCTGCCATAATGTTGTCATTCCTGTCCCGTTGTGAAATGAAAGGGTTTCTTGGTGCAAGCTATGCCTTTTCCAAGCACAAGGACTCCATACAAAGCATCCTGCAGCTCCGTGTTTCTCAACCTCCTAAAATTCAGTTGAAGTCCACACATCTTCAAATGGCCCAGGTTGAGAAACACTGCCCTAGGGCCTGGCAAGCTAAGCCACATTAAAGGAGGAGATGGTTGAAGTACCTGGAGTTCAGGCAACCCGTTTAATCTCGGTTATCCAATTAACTCATTTTTTGGGGATTGTGCAATAGAAGGAACCGTGCCCTAATTAACTGCATTGTGTTGGCCTAATGAATGAAGAGAATAAATAGGGCCCACTATTATCCATTATGCCAGTGCAACTGCTTATTCTTGGAGATCCCCGCCCCCCAGTTCAGTGTCTCAAATGAACACAGCCATGTATGAATGACTAAATGAATAGCAACAGATGAGCATTTTACCCCAGGATGGTAACTGCTGAATTTGTTGGATTGTTTTTACTTTATGTAGTGTTAGTGTGCATTTTCCTGTGACCCCGTTCCCTTGTTTTGGGTTAGGTTGTCTTGGAGGATTTCCTGTTCTTTGATCATATAAATAAATACTGGATTCGATCAATAGCACCCCATGTAATGCCAATGCAACTGCTAGATGAACTGTCCTGATAAAGAGGCTCATCTGAACACAACCACAACCAGTGATGGGTTTCAAATAATTTCACCACTGGTATGCCGAAAATGTGAGCGCTTCCACCACATGGTGAGGTTTGACCGAGCAGCCTTTCGGAACCTGCTCCCCTCCATCTCTGCTCTATGGGGCAGCAGCTGCTTCTCTCTGCACTGCTGGGACAGCGTCTTATGCAATTTAGCAGCTGTGAGCCGCTGCTTTCCTCTAAATCCCATCCGGACAGCACTGCGGGACAGAGAAGCAGCAACCATCTTGAATGCTGTTTCTCTCAGCCACAGCGCTTTCCGGATGGAACTTAGAGGAAAGCGGCGGCTCACAGCTGCTAAATTGCACAAGACGCTCTCCCAGCAAGAGCAGCAGTGGAGCGAAGCAGCTACCGACCAGGAGAGCACATGGAGCGACTCCGCAAGCAACCGAGTCTGGGCAAGGGAGGGAAGAAACGGCTGCAAGATCTCCACTGCAGCGCTTTCCGGATGGGACTTCTTGCAGGTAAGAAGAACCATCCGGTCCATTCCCAATCTGCTTTGGCCCTCCTGCGCCCCCCCCCCCCGCGGCCCTTTGGCCTAGCGCAGCAGGCCAAATAAATTCCTTCAGCCCAGAGGGCCGTATTTGAGGCCAGAGGGTGGGGGCTGCATGCGGGCAGAGGCCCGGGGCAAGCCTGGAGCGGGGGAATGGCACGTTCCCTGACCAGCCAAGGTGAATGGCGAAGCAAGACAGGCAAGCTCTGGGGACTGCGGGGGAGGGGACAGCTAGCTAGGCCACAGTGCCACGTGGGATGGAGCTGTGGTAGCGAAGCAAGCCAGGCAAACTGGAGGTCGGGAATGGTGGGGGGGGCACCTTGTTGACCACAAGTGCCATGGCCTGCGTGGGATGGAGCCACGGTGGCGAAGCAAGCCAGGCAAGCTGGAGCCTGGGGATGGTGGTGGGGCAGCTTGCTAGACCGCAATGCTGCGTGGACTGGATCCGTGGCGGCGAAGCAAGCCAGGCAAACTGGGGGATGGGGACGCTGGGGGGGGGGCAGCTAGCTAGGCCACAGTGCTGCATGGGATGCAGCCAAGGTGGCAAAGCAAGCCAGGCAAGCTGGGGGACCGGGGGGGGGGGGGGAAGCTAGCTAGGCTGCGACTAACAGGCTTACTTATCCAGTCAGGCAGATCAGGGCCACTCATTTGGGCCACAGGCACCGCGTGGGAAGGCAGGCAAGCTGCACAGGCTGTGGTCAACGCTAGCAAAGAGCCACACAGTGTGATATGCCGGGGAGGCGAGATGAATGACTGAATGGGGTGGGGCAGGGCAAGCGGATGGGGGCAGGGCCAGCCAGAGATAGTATTTGCTGATTCTCTGAACTACTAAAAATTTCCGCTACCGGTTCGCCCGAACCGGCTGAATGCTACCTCTGACCACAACATAATGGATGCTGCTGTCTTTTTCTCACTTGCACTGCAGTGTCTTCAGAGCACCTAAGCGAAAGTATATATGGTTGCAGCTGCTATATTGGCTGATAAAGTAAAAAATAAAATATGCAAAATGAATATTGCAGGGAGGGCACACCTAGCAAGGAAGGAGGGATGGCTCACCCCCCCTCCTTTACCAAATTTGACATTTCTAAGTATTAAAGGGTTGAAACCAACTCTTAATGGGAACTACAGATTGGCTGCTTCAACTTTTAAATTAGATTCTGAGCTGGATATTGGCTTGTTTCACATATCAGCTTCATTACCAGTCCTCAGAGTTTTTAAACATAAAAATGGAGATTTGTAGAGCTATCTTTTAGAATTTCATAGTCAACCTTTTAGAAAGAAAAAGTGAAGTGAGTATTTTTCAGGAACTACCGGTACTAGAAAAAAAGGGAGTCCAGAAACTCGCAGGAGATCACATGTTTTCTGTGCTGTGTATTGTTAGAAAGATAAGGCTGTGGAAACTTAAAGGAGAGTTGGTTCTGATTAAGCCAAAGCTGAATTATTGCACAATAATATAATAAAGCCTATTAGATATATACCTTGATACTGTTTGCTTCCGGTTTCATTGGGCACAGGGGCAGGATATATATAACCCTGACATAAATACACTTAAATTGTTTACATTTCATGAAAGCAGTGTTTATTATATGTTGTATGGGAACATACGTTAATAGAATAGAATATTATTTATTGGCCAAGTGTGATTGGACGCACAAGGAATTTGTCTCCGGTGCAGAAGCGCTCACTATACATAGAAGCAACAAAGTCATAAATCATAAGATACAACCAACAAAGGAATAGTCATATAAGAGACCAATAAAGATAAATGTTCCCCTCGCACATATGTGCTAGTCGTTCCCAACTCTAGGGGGCGGTGCTCATCTCCGTTTCAAAGCTGAAGAGTTAGTGCTCTCCAAAGACGTCTCCGTGGTCATGTGGCCAACATGACTAAACTCCAAAGGCGCACGGATTTCTGTTACCTTCCCACCAAAAGTGGTCCCTATTTTTCTACTTGCATTTTTTGCGTGCTTTCGAACTGCTAGGTTGGCAGAAGCTGGGGCAAGTAACGGGAGCTCACCCTGTTACGCGGCACTAGGGATTCGAACTGCTGAACTGCCGACCTTTCGATGGACCAGCTCAACGTCTTAGCCACTGAGCCACCCCATCCCTTATAAGAAACCAATAGGAGTAGGTAATAGGAAAAGTGAGAAGGATAATAGTAACACAGTCCTGCTACGTGGTTAGATATCCTTAGGCATAAGACCGTGTTGTGGGAATTAAGTGTTTAGCAAAATGATGGCTTGGGGAGGAAAAGTGTCTTTGTGTCTAGTTGTTTTGCCATGCAGTGCCCTTTACGGGATCCTGAGGGGAGTAGTTGAAACAGTTTATGTCCAGGTTGTGAGGGGTCTGTAGATATTTTCTCAGCCCTCTGTAACTTGTGACCTTCGGAATGCTAGAAAGCTGCCACATAGTGAAGTAACAGCTGTACTGATGCAGGTTTTTTCCCCCCCTCCATTGCCCAGCGGAAGAAAAAGGGCATAGCTTGCAAAAAATAAATAACGTAACTGTCATGTGAAGTGGCATTTCTACAGCTGGGCAATTTTGAAAATTCTCCTCTTTCCATCTGTTTGCATTAAGTTTGCTGGCAGCAGTGGCCAAGGCAGGAACGGCTTGCATCAGATATCCCAAGCGATAAGAAGAGCCTAGTTGTCTGTGCCTGTGGACAGTCTGCATCCCCAGCCTCTAAATGGGCAGGAACTGTTTCTCCCCCACCCACCCCCAAAATGAACCGTGCTGTTTTCTCAAGTTGATGCAAATACTTCAAAAGTGGGCTTCCAAATCACTTTGAAGGTGATTTAGCAGCTGTTCTGAGATCTTTAAGGATGTTTGCTGACAACCTACTATACTGCATACTGTCTTTGTCTCAGTCTGGAACATGTGTACTTGAGGGGTGAAATCCAATTTTTTTTTCCCTACCGGTTCTGTGGGCGTGGCAGGGGAGGATACTGCAAAATCTCCATTCCTTCATTTCATTTCATTTCATTTATTAGATTTCTATACCGCCCTACTCCCGAAGGACTCAGGGCGGTGCACAGCCAAACAATAAAAACACATACAATACAAAATTTAAAAAATAGAATAAAATCAAATTAAATAATTTTGGCCCCGACAAATGTAAAACCCCAAACTTTTAAAACCAATTTAAAATTGAATATATAAATACTAAAAGATGTTTAAAATTTTAAAGATCTTTTATAAAAGAGGGGGAAAATTAGGCCAGGCCGGCCTGGTGAAATAGTAAGGTCTTTAAGGCGCGGCGGAAGGTGCGCAGATCCGGGATCCTCCGTATCTCTGGGGGGAGCTCGTTCCAGATAGTAGGTGCCCCCACAGAGAAGGCTCTCCCCCTGGGGGCCGCCAGTCGGCATTGTTTGGCTGACGGCACCCGGAGGAGCCCCTCTCTATGGGAGCATACCGGCCGGTGGGAGGCTATTGGTGGTAGTAGGCGGTCCCGCAAGTACCCAGGTCCTAAGCCATGGAGCGCTTTAAAGGTGGTAACCAAAACCTTGAAGCGCACCCGGAAGACCACCGGGAGCCAGTGCAGCTCGCGCAGGAGAGGTGTTACATGGGAACGCCATGTCGCTCCCATTACCACCCGCGCGGCCGCACTCTGCGCCAGTTGGAGCCTCCGGGTGCTCCTCAAGGGGAGCCCCATGTAGAGAGCGTTGCAATAGTCCAGGCGGGAGGTGACAAGGGCATGAGTGACCGTGCGTAAAGAGTCCCGATCCAGAAAGGGACGCAACTGGCGAATCAGGCGAACCTGATGAAAAATCCTCCCGGTCACGGCCGTCAAGTGCGCTTCTAAAGACAGCCGTGAATCCAGGAGGACGCCCAAGTTGCGAGCCCTCTCCGTGGGGGCCAATGATTCACCCCCAATAGTCAGTGATGGCGTCAACTGACTATATCGGGACGTCGGAAACCACAGCCACTCAGTCTTGGATGGGTTGAGCCTGAGCCTGTTCCTCCCCATCCAGATCCGTACGGCCTCCAGGCACCGGGACATCACTTCAAGGGCATCGTTGGGGTGATCCGGGGTGGAGATGTACAGCTGGATGTTGTCAGCGTACTGATGGTACTCCACCCCGAAACCACGGATGATCTCGCCCAGCGGCTTCACATAAATGTTGAACAGGAGAGGCGAGAGGACCGACCCTTGCGGCACCCCACATATGAGGGGCCTCGGGGTCGACCTCTGTCCCCCTGTCAACACAGACTGCGACCGGTCAGAGAGAAAGGAGGAGAACCACCGCAACACAGTGCCTCCCACCCCCAACTCTTCCAACCGGTGCAGCATGATACCATGGTCGATGGTATCAAAAGCCGCTGAGAGATCTAACAGGACCAGGACAGAGGAGCACCCCGTGTCCCGAGCCCTCCAGAGATCATCAACCAACGCGACCAGTGCCGTTTCCGTGCTGTACCCGGGCCTGAAGCCCGACTGGAACGGATCCAGATACATCGTTTCATCCAGGTGCTGGGGGAGCTGTTGCGCGACCACACTCTCAACAACCTTCGCAACAAAGCGAAGATTGGAGACCGGACGATAATTTACCAACATTGCCCCGTCCAGGGAAGGCTTCTTGAGGAGAGGCCTCACCACTGCCTCTTTCAAGGCGGCGGAAAAGTCACCCTCACTCAGCAAAGCGTTTATAATCCCCTGGAGCCAGCCTCGTGTCACTTCCCGGGAAGCCAGTACTAACCAGGAAGGACACGGGTCCAATAAACAAGTGGTCGCGTTCAGTCTACCCAGAATCCTGTCCACGTCCTCAGGGGTCACAGGATCAAACTCATCCCAGATAACATTCTCAAGACCTGCCCCTGTCTCTCCCCCTGAGACTACCCAGTCGGAGTCCAAATCTTCCCGAATCTGAGTGATTTTGTCATACAGATACTGAACAAAATCCTCGGCTCTACCCTCCAAGGGGTCCTCCCGCGCTTCCTGGTGGAGCAGGGAGCGGGTCACCCTAAAGAGGG